GCCATTTTGCTTCTACCTATGTTTTTAGCTAGAAACTTCTGAAAGCTTTGATTATATTTCTTTATGATCTTATCAGCATTACTAGGATCTTCTGAGATTATTTCCTTCTGAGAGTTTTGTAGATCATTTTCTAGTTTTGAAATTTTTTCTTTTAACTCAGAGTTTTCTGATCTCAGGCTCTCAGTTACTTCAGAGTCAGAAGCAAGATCCTTTTTCAGATTCCTGAATTTGACTCGAAGCTGCTGATATCTTTCCAGAATTTCACTCAGGCTTTCTGCTAGTTCAGCTTTAGTGAAATTAATAGTGAAGTCAGGGAATACCTCTTCAGTGTCTGATTCTGATTCTGATTCAGAGGATTCTGAGACATCTGATAAGTTGTCGGTTTGAGCTATATTGGCTTGTTCATCTTCTGATTCGGTTTCGTCTTCAGAAGATTCTGAATCATCCCATGTTTCCATAAGACTTTTCTTATTTTCTTTAATTAACTTCCCTTTATGTTTCTCCTTATGAAGCCTTAGACACTCACTTTTGTAGTTACCTTGTTTATTGCATTCATAGCAGGTAATGATTATGTTACTTGATATTCTGTGTCCAGAGGATTGTTCAAAGTCATTTCTTGTTCTTCTGGGGTTTCTGAAATTCTTCTGCTTGTGCTTCCACAACTGATTGATCCTTCTGAAGAGAAAGGATAGTTCATCTTCTTCTGAAGCAGATTCTTCATAGTTTTCTTCTTTACCCTGAAAAGCTTTAGTTTCATATTTTATAATTTATTTAAGGGCAATGGACTTACCTTTCTATTGAGGCTTGTGCTCATCAAGTTATATCTTATGACTTCTGAGAGCACTGATGAGTTCTTCAAGAGACACGTTGTTCAGATCTTTTGAGACTTTGAAAGCAGTGACCATAGGTGCCCATATTCTGGGTATGCTTCTGATAATCTTCTTAACATGATCTGCCTTAGAATATCCCTTGTTCAGACCTCTCAAGCCAGCAATCAGAGTTTGGAACCTTGAGAACATATCTTCTATAGATTCACTTTCTTTCATCTTGAAGGCTTCATACTTCTGGATGAGAGCCAGAGCTTTAGACTCCTTCACTTGAGCGTTTCCTTCATGAGTCATTTTAAGAGACTCAAACATATCATGTGCAATATCTCTATTTGTAATCTTTTCATATTCCACTTTAGAGATAGCATTTAGAAAAATATTTCTAGCTTTATGATGATTTTTTAAATCAGCTTTTTGTTGTCTATCCATATTTTTCCTATCAATCATATTTCCTTCTGAGTCAGTAGGATGTTTGTAACCATCCAAGACTATATCCCATAAATCATTACCATGACCTAGAAAGAAACTTTCTAGTCTATCTTTCCAATAATCAAAATCTTCTCCATCAAACACTGGAGGTCTGGTGTAGTTATTGTTGTTTTGCTCAGTAGTCATTTGTGTTTTCTTCTGGATCTTTTCCTGACACAGTTAAGTGTTGAGCTCAGAATCAAGCTATGATACCAATTGAAGGTGGAGAAAACACTTAGAAGGGGTGGGGGGGGGGGTTGAATAAGTTTCTCTTTTTCTTTTTCTAAAAGGCACAACAATAAAGGAAAGACAAGGTTATTTTTATCCTGGTTCGTTTGAACTCAAACTACTCCAGTCCATCCGCCAAGGTGATTTCGCCTTTCTCAACAAGGACTTAATCCACTATAATCAACTGATTACAATCACACAACAACTTTTGTGACTAACAATGCACAAGTAACCTTAAAAGTGACTCACACCACTAAGACTTAAACTAGTCCTAGTCTACTTGAGAATTCTGACCAACCTTGGTCTCTCAAGGAACAATTACAAGATATAAATTGTTACAGATAGTGAAACAAAGTTTGCTTCTAAGAAAGCTATATCACAACTGTGATTTTTCACTAAGAATATTATAGCATAAAGTGTATTAATAATGAATTTGTGAGCCCAGAATCTTTCACGTTATTCTTGCTTCTTTTGAAATTATTCAGTTCTATTCAGAACTTCAGTTGTTCAGTCGTTCAGCGTTTTTGCAATATTTCATTGGTTGGCTTGCAATTAATGTTCTTCTATATATATCATTAAGAAACATGACCGTTGTTGCCTTGAAATAGAGAGCATTCAATGTTTACGTGTTTCCTTGCATTATTCCATTTTTTAATGCACTGGCGTAGACACTTGAGTGCATGTAGTCATCTTTGCATTAAATGAGCAAACGACACTCTGTAAGAACATGTCTCCTGAAACTTGACAAGACTTGATAGCTTTTTCATTCTTCAGAACTTGCTTCACGTCTTGAATTTAGAACATGCTCTCATATCTTCTAAACAATGTTTTGCTTGCTAAGTACTTCTAATCAACGCTTGCTTTCAAATATATTCTGAACAACACTTGCTTTCAAATATCTTCTGAACAACACTTGCTTTCAAATATCTTCTGAACAACACTTGCTTTCAAATATCTTCTAAAACATAGCTTACACAGAAACTTGCTAAGCGTTAGAAGATGTAATAAAATAATTATCTTACTAGAGTCAGCATCAGCATTTGAGTTAAAACAAATGGTTCTTTCATCAAAGAACTTCTTCATTTATTTTCAGCTCAGCACATCAAGATGCTTCTATCAGAACATTATCAGAGACAACATCAGCATCAACACTTGCGCTTAAAACAAATAGTTATTTCATCAAAGAACTTCTTCATTTATTTTCAGCTCAGCACTTCAAGATGTTTCTGTCAGAATATTATCTGAAATAGTTAAATACGTTCATCAGAGTATCAATTATATAAAATATAATTTATTGTTATCATCAAAACTCTGAGATATGATCAGAACCAATCTTGTTCTAACAGATAGGTGTTAGTGAATGAAGAACATACACAAAAGTTCTCCCAATTTTCTTGGTAAAATGGGTCGTGGTTCTTAATGGTTATCATGAGATTGATGAAAAATTGAATCATTACAAGATTAATCAACTCACATTTTCTGATTTTTCTCAACAGCAAATTAACACAAAGTGTAACAAAAAAAAGATAAAATCAGACATGAATTACACTGAAGAAGTTGTTTTCAAAAACAAGAAAATTTTACAAAGTGGGCTAGGAATAGACACACTAGAGAAGCAAAGACAAATTGACATTTTTGTCTAACGAGAGTTTCATCTTTCTTTCATTATAAAAAAATATATAATGAGAGATTCAAATTTTTGGATCAAAGAAACAACTATTTAAAATTAAGGTGGAAATTTGGATGTTTGTAGTTATGATTCGAATCATTATTCAAACCCATGACTTGAGTTAAGAACAAACCATAATTTGAGCCATTCAGTGTTGTGATTCGAAGCACTTGTATTTCATTATTCGAATCAAATATGATAGAGCCAAATTCTTGCTTTTATGGAAAGTTGTGATTCGAGTCAAGTTAACTTGTGATTCAAATCAAACCACATAGAGTCAAAATCCAATTTTTCACAAATTGTATGATTTGAGTCACACAATCTACATTATTCGAATCAAACAACTCAACATCTTGATTCAAGTGTTCTAACTTGTGATTCAAGTAACATTTGATGAAAAGACAAAAATCAACTTGCAAGGCTCAAAAATGACACACAATATCACATACTAACATTCTAATGAATTGAAAAATGAAAGGACTAAGAGTACGATACTACATAGCCGAATGAACAAAATACAATTAAAAAACGAACAAATTACAAACATGCGAAAAATCAAATAACACATACATACAAATTGACAAAAACACAAAAACTAAAAGACAATACCATACGATATTGTGACTGCAATTTTAATGTCAGATCATATATTATTCAATGTGAGACATTTAGCACAAAGTGGATGTCCTATTAACAAAAGCTTGATAGCAGGTGATCCTACGAATCTTAAACTAGACTCATATATTAAGTTAAGAAGTGTAGTTTGACCTAATTCAACCTTATAAAATTCACTTGTAAGATGAAGATTACATTCACCTACAAATACATGTTCAAATCATATATTATCTAAAGTACTCATAATTAATACTAATGAAAAAAAATAATTAAATAATTGACTTAATTAATATTCTAAATCCACTCGTAAAAAAAATTAATTAATTAATCTTCTATTAGTGAAGATGATTAATGAAGTCATTCTATATTTGGAGTTCCTCTAATATATAAACATTGATGAATCGAATAAGAGGTCTTCTTATAGTTTTTCCTTATTTTGTGTAACCCGTAGGGCCCGCGTAACTTCTAGGCCATTGAAACCCCTTGCTTTAGGTTTCTTAGAATTATATTACATATATAATTCTTATATTAAAAAACATATATCGTCAGCAAAAGATCTAACTTTAAGCTTTTATAGTAAAGTTAAAAGTCTCTACCGAACCTTACTGTATCCTTGCCCTACAAATATATTTTTGTGTAAGATCTTGATCACACTGTTGTGCACAGGTTCAGGTAAGCGTTTGAAAAAATATGAGATCTCGTAAGACCTATACTAGAACTACAGGTTTTATATTTTAAACGTGGCATATCTACCATTTTTATGTTAGAAAAAAATTATAATTAATTTATATTGCAACTATTACAATTAATATCACAATATTTATATGGAATGAGTTACAATAGTTTTTATACGAATACAATACAACCACGATCAATTTTTAAAACATTGTTTTATGAGAGTTTATATAGATACACGATAAATATATTTACGTATCAATATTAATATCATATAAATATTAATCACTGAGATATTTTATATGTCATTGACGCGTATCAATCACTGTAACTCGTTTTTGATACTCAATAGGAATTGACCATAAGAAAGTAACCAAAAAAGATAGAAATATTTATTTCTTAAAAACATAGAGCTACAAAACGATCCAAATGAAAAGGAACACAAGGAAATTAGAAAGAAATACAAATACTACAAATTCTTCAATCACTTGCATCCATCACATAGTAGGATTGGATTTTCACTTGGATATGAGATTGTGTTTGATCTTGTCAATAATAGAACTAAGTTTCACTTTGTTCAAAGGTTTCTCTTGATACTCATCTAGTCCTGCTTCCATAAACTTCACTATTTCCTCTTCCATGGAATGTGATGACACTCCAACAATAGTGCTACAAATTCCCATTGCACGGAGTTCCTTTGTTGCCTATATAACAAACACATAAAAAAACAAACAAAACAAGTATCAACACATGCATATTTTTTCTAAACATGGAGCATATATAATATAAAATAATAACTAATTAGTATATACCTCAACACCATTCATAATAGGCATATCTTTATCCATGAGAATTAGGTCAAATTTTTGTCCATAGCTATGAATTTCCAATGCTTCTTTTCCATTTTTCACACCTTGACTTTTCACTCCTAAACTACTCAACATCTTTTGATGAATTTTTCGAATGATTTCAGTGTCATCTACAACGAGTGCTGTTAACTTGGATGCAAAGTTATCAGGTAATGCCATTTGATTTTTTTAGATGATATTGCAACTTTTTTCGCGTCTACACGAATAAAAATAAAGTTCATTTCCTCTTAATACATCAAAAAATTCTTATATATGTAGATTTCAAGATAATGTAGCATTAGCACTAACCTGGATATAGTAAACTCTTTCTCCTGATTTTGATGAGACTAATGATGAGTATATGAATGGAAAAATGAACATGAATATTTATAGACTCAAGAGATCTTATTTATCATCATTTTACATAAAATTCAAAAACAAATGAAGTGCTCAATTGGGTGTACGTACGCATCAACTTGAATTCGATGTGTTATGTGTTTGGATTCTGCTGAAAATCACAAAATCTAAGGGAGAGTGATAGTTTGCCAAAAATGGGGGGATTTTCCTATCTTGAATAAATTTTGTAGGGCATATTTTTTCTATTTTATGTTAGACAAGAAGACATAATATTTTCATGTATATTTTTTGGGGATACTTTTTTGCTACTTGCCTTTCATTTTCATTGCCACGAGGAAATGAGTGAACCAAATTAAACTTTGTGACTTTGTTTCTTCTTCGTTATAGCCATCGAGTGCATACCTTACAATGCAAAAGAGTTAAAAGGAAAGAGAGAGAGAAAAAAATGATTACAATGCAAGGAAAAGAATAAAACAGAAGTAACTATGTGTACATGTCCACGTATAAAACTTTATTTACTAGCTGGAGAAGCATAATAGCTTAAGTGGTGTCTACAACAGCTTTCAGAATCATAGAATGCTACTAGCTAGTTAGTACTACTTATATATAGCATTAGATTCTTATATATATCATCATTATCCATATGTTATCTATACTATGCATGCAAATTTTAATGACGTGGGATCATACTATTTTTAAACTAAGTTAAACTGTGATTAAATTTAAAAAAGTTTACATTTCTTTTTACGGTTTGTATGTATCTAACTAAAACTCTATGGTTTGTTGTCTAAATCAACATTTTTAGGCAGTCTCCCAAAATTTAAACTCACATTGGTATTATACTATGAAAAAATGTGTGACAAATGTAGAGCACTGTTTGCACACTTTTAACATATATTATAACACTTTATTTTCTGATTAAAATTTATATAAGTTCATTTGTAAGGTCGAGCTCAACCAAAAAATATTGTTGTTAGTTGAACATTTTGTCCTTGAGTGTGTATTAGTTAAAAACTATAACATGTGTTAATCTTGAACTTGTTAGAAATTTTAAGGTATGTTGTGGGGTTAACATCTAGCTCACATAAGGGGCGAGAAGTTCTGTGTATGTAGTTTTATGTATCAGAATGAAATTGTCTTTCTTAACTATAGTGTTTGTTAGAACGATGTTTGAATCTAGTACCCTATATTTAAGTTTTGATGATAACAAAGTGAAAAGATACAGTATTTATATGTTTCATGTTTGAACTATATGCTGCCTAAAAATACTATGCTCTGACTTGCAGATATGCTGATTGAAATAAGCAAGATCACTCCATCAGCATCAGAACTTGATTTGATACACCAGCATCAGAAGTTGCTGAATCAGAACGTGAAGATCAGATGATCAACTCACGTACATGCTGAAGCTTGATGAACAGAACTGCGCGTAAACACTCTGATACAGAAACAATAGTTCATCAGCAGCGAAGCAGAATCAGAATGAGCCAAGCCAGAACGTGCATTGAAGAAGCAACGGTACTGTGCATTGAACGCTAATCAATTCCAACGGCTTCATTCTAGACAAGATCTGCTCAAAAAGGAAAGCTTGTTATTAGCATTGAATCAAGAATATTGCATTCAACGTTCATCTTCTCAAGTGCTATATAAACAAGGCTTCGAAGATTATCATGGCTAATGCTTCCAAACTCTCTACACGCACAAAGCTAAATCAATAATCTTCATCTACCAGTTTTGCTAAACCAACAAACTCTGATACTTCATTAGTGTTTAGCATTCTAAGTTTCTAAGCTTAATTTGTGTATACATCACAGTTGTGATATAGTTTTGTAGAAAACATTCACACACATTTGTTTTATACCTTTGTAAGAAAGTGTTGCCTTGACAAACCGGATTGTGGTTTGAATCAAGAAGGCTTTAGCAGTTGTTAAAGCAGATTTGTATTCAGTTGAATATAGTGAATTAAGACCTCGTTGGAGAGAGGCGAAATCACCTTGACGGGTGGACTGGAGTAGTTTGAGATCAAACGAACCAGGATAAAAATATCTTGTCATTTGCTTTAAGTTTCCAGTTTTACAATTCAACCCCCCCTTCTTGTGTTTTTCACCCCTTCAATTGGCATCAGAGCGCCTGGTTCTGAGCTAAAACACTTAACCGTGTCAGTACAAGATCCAGCGTCAGAAAAACACAATGGCAGGAAACAACTCTCATTTCAGCAATGACAACAATGAGGATAGAGACAGATTCAGCGGCAAACCTCCAGTTTTTGATGGAGAAAACTTTGATTACTGGAAAGATAGAATTGAAAGCTTCTTTCTAGCACATGATGCTGATCTGTGGGATATGGTGACAGATGGATACACGCACCCTGTGAATGCAACTGGTCAGAAGATTGAAAGAAAATCAATGACTGATCAACAAAAGCGTGACTTCAAGAATCACCATAAGGCCAGAACCATCCTCCTCAGTGCCATCTCCTATACTGAGTATGAGAAGATCTCCAACAGAGACACAGCTAAGAACATCTTTGATTCTCTCAGAATGACGCATGAGGGCAACGTTCAAGTCAAAGAAACAAAAGCTCTGGCGCTCATTCAGAAGTATGAGGCGTTCAAAATGGAAGAATCTGAATCCATTGAAACTATGTTCTCTAGATTCCAGATTCTGGTAGCTGGTCTCAAAGTTCTGGACAAAGGATACTCTACTGCTGACCATGTCAAGAAGATAATCAGAAGTTTACCCAAGCAGTGGAGGCCTATGGTTACTGCTCTGAAGCTAGCGAAAGATCTCAACAAAATCACTCTGGAGGAACTTATAAGCTCCCTCAGAAGTCATGAGATAGAGCTAGAAGCTGATGAGCCTCAGAAGCAAGGTAAGCCTTTAGCTTTAAAATCTAACAGAAAATCTGAATCTAAAGTTTTGCAGGCAGTTGAAGAAACATCTGATGGATCCTCATCAGAAGAAGACGAACTTTCCCTTCTCTCCAGAAGAGTAAATCAACTGTGGAAGCAAAGACAAAGGAAGTTCAGGAATCCCAGAAGATCTGATCAGAACGAGTCTTCTTCCAGATACAGAAGGACAGATTCTTCCTCTGGGTACAGAAGATCTGAAGGCTCCTCCGGTAGCAAGAAGCCAAACACAAAAGACATCATCTGCTACGAGTGCAATGAGCAAGGACACTACAAGAGTGACTGCCCAAAGCTTCAGAGGGAAAAGCCCAAAAAGAAGTTTGGAAGAGAGAAGAAGAAAAGTCTCATGGCCACATGGGATGACTCTGACTCGTCTGAAGCTGACTCAGAATCAGATGATGAAAGGGCGAACATAGCGCTCATGGCTAACATTCCAGATGACAGTGAAGCTTCTGACTCAGACTCAGAATCAGACACAGAAGAGGTATTCCCTAACTTCGCTGTTAATTTTACAAAGGCTGAACTTGCTGAAAGCCTCAATGAAATTCTGGAACGTTATCAGCAGATTAGAGCTAAATTCAGAGACCTGAAAAGGACTCTTGAATCTGACTCTAATAAGTCTGAGAGTCTCAAATTGGAAAACTCTGAGCTGAGAGATAAAATTTTAAAATTAGAAAAGTCTTTACAAAACTCTCAGAAGGAACCAATTTCTGAAACTCCCAGCAACGCTGATGAGATCATCAAGGAGTATGATCATAGTTTCCAGAAGTTCCTTGCTAAAAGCATAGATAGAAGCAGAATGGCTTCAATGATCTATGGAGTTAGCAGAAACGGCAGGAAAGGAATAGGATACCAAGGTAAGGTTCCTACACCTAAGAATGTCATGGATTTAATTATTAAACACACTCCTCTAAATTCACACTTTGTGTATGGTCACACACACGACATCAAATACACTAGCAGTAAGCACTCTGTGAAACCAAAATTCAACCAGAGTTTTGGTAAAACTAACAAATCAGGACCCAAGAAGATCTGGGTACCTAAGGATAAAATAATACATGTTGCAGATATCTTTAGCAGCAAGTCAGAAACACCAGTCATGGTACCTGGACTCTGGCTGCTCACGACACATGACGGGAAGAAGGCATATGTTCCAAAGCCTGGAACTTAAGCCTGGAGGCCACGTTGGCTTTGGAGGCAATCAGAGGGGAAAGATAATTGGCTCTGGAACTGTAGGTAACGGAAATCTTCCCTCTATTAATAATGTTCTGCTAGTTGATGGATTGATGCATAATCTGTTATCCATAAGTCAATTAAGTGATAACGGTTATGATATAATCTTTAATCAAAAATCATGTAAAGCTGTTAGTCAGAAAGATGGGACTATCCTATTTAATGGTAAGAGGAAAAACAACATTTACAAAATCAAACTTTCTGAACTAAAAAGTCAGAACGTAAAATGTCTTCTGTCTGTTAACAACGAGCAGTGGATCTGGCACAGAAGATTGGGGCATGTTAGTATGAGAAGAATATCTCAGATTAACAAACTCAATCTGGTCAGAGGACTTCCAAATTTGAAGTTCAATTCAGATGCTCTGTGTGAAGCATGTCAGAAAGGCAAATTTGCAAAACCTTCTTTTAAATCCAAAAATGTTGTTTCTACCTCTAAGCCATTAGAACTTCTGCACATTGACTTATTTGGACCAGTTAAAACTGCTTCAGTCAGTGGCAAGAAGTATGGGTTAGTAATCGTAGATGACTATAGCAGATGGACATGGGTAAAGTTCTTAAGACACAAGGACGAGTCACACTCTGTGTTTGTTACCTTCTGTAACCAAGTTCAGAATGAAAAAGATCTTAGAATCGTTAAAGTCAGAAGTGATCATGGTGGAGAATTTGAAAATAAAGACTTTG